AGGAGGCGGCGCGGGTGGGCTGGGAAGCGGGGAGGCCGAGCCCGCCTGCAGGCCACGGCCTACTCGGTGCGGGGAAGTAGCCACCCCTTCCTGCTGCGGGGCCCGGAGGCCGCCTGCACCCGGGCAAAGAGGATTTGGGGAGGTGGTGCTAGGGTGGCGACCAGAGAAAAAACTTGCCGATAGCTCTGGAAATCCAACTCTTTGAAAGTACGCAGACTCCGGCCTAGACACGCACACAGGTGCCTTGTTAAATGGGGTGTGGCTGGGCGAACCCCTCCAGCGCCCGTGTCCATCTTCTTTAAGCTCCGAGCCCTCCCCCCGAGCTGTGGTTGGGCCCAGGCCCGCCCGCTGTTGACGGCCCGCCCCAGCCTCCCCCACAAGAAGGCCTGGCCTGTCTCTAAGCTCCGGGCAAGGGCCTGCCCTTAGAAGGAGACTCTGTGCCCGAGTCCTCCCGTCTCCTCGCCCCGCGGGATGGAGCGCGGGTGTTGGGACAGTTTTGACCTCGTGGGTGACTGAATCCCCTGAGGGACGTCAGGGCCCCTGGACGGTTCGTGGAGCAGAGCCGCCCGCTCACGTCTGGAAAGTGATGCGGAACAGAAGTAAGTTCGCCCTTGTTTGGGTCCTAAATGCCACGCCGCGGGTCCAAGTTCTGCTTCTGAACTTATGCCAATTGCATGCTCATCTTATGCCACTTTCATGGGACGACGTAAACTACCCTTTAGAAACCTAGTGTTCCTGGCCTCAATTAAGATGCATTTGGAAAATGTGGAAAGGGCTGTAAATTTAATTAAGTTCAGTTTTTTCATGAGTTCTTTATTACCCGAGGGACCAGTCAACAAAGCTTAGTAATGAATCCACAAATATTTGAATGGAAAAAAAAAAAAGACTGAAAAGTACCATGCCACTCTTTTCTTGTGTTCGAGTCGCATGCCAGCTGCCACCTGTGCCATGCAGCCTTCTGCTTCTGTTTAGGAGAATGGCATTCGAGCATTTCCTTATTTTGGGGTGAATTCCACTGTTTTCATCCTGTTGCAAGCACATGGAGTGACCTGGCCATATAACAACACTGGAGTAAAGACAGTCTCTTCAATAAATGGTGCTGGGAAAATTAGAGGCAGGGCTTTGGAGGTCCCTGGTTTGATTCCCGGTCAGGGCACATGCCCAGGTTGCGAGCTCAATCCCCAGTAGGGGGCGTGCACGAGGCAGCCAATCGAAGTTTCTCTCTCATTGATGTTTCCGTCTCTCTATCACTCTCTTTTCCTTGCTCTCTAAATTTAAAAAAAAAATTATATATATATGTAAAGATGTAGGAGACATCCATGCGAGGCCTGTAGTTCTGGTCCACACCCATCAGGTAGGCCATAGGAACTCTTTTATAACTTAGGTCAGTCAGTTTCTCCACCTGGTTGCCCATCACTCTGTGGACACATGTTCACACCGCCAAGAAAGAGAAACCACCACTAGGGTCATTGGCATGGGTCCCAGGACTGGGGCTGAGACCAGCACCCAAGAAGTGGAGGCTATGGGGAATGCGGAGGGTCCCCTCGCTGCACCCCGAGACCTCTAGGGCAGTTTGCAGGTGTGGGCTCCGCAGTCCCTCCTCTCCTGGTGCTGGGCAGCCAGGCTGAACAGTGGGGAGCGTCACATCTTTTGCCCCTTTGGCTATGTAGCACCTCTGGCTTAAATATGGAGGGCAATGCCTCCTCCCACCTGTGGGACTGCTGTACCCCTCAACCAGCTCTCAGGGGAGGTGGGCACCAGGAGGAGAAGGAAGCAGCCTGGCTGGCTTGCAGCAGCAGACCCTGCTCTGCCCTTAAGCAACAAGTACAGGAGGAGCAATGGGATTGTAGATCCAATTCTGGGTTCCTGTTGAGTTATGTAAGTTTTTTATATATTTTGGAAATTAACTCTTTTATCAGATGTATCATTGGTGAATATGTTCTCCCATACAGTGTGAGTTCTCTTTTCATTTTGTTGTTTTCGCTGAGCAGCTTTTTAGTTTGATGTTGTCCCGTTTTTTCCTTTGTTTCTCTTGCCCCAAAAGATGTATCAGTGAAAATACTGCTACGTGAGAGGTCTGTGATTTTACTGCCCGTGTTTTCTTCTAGGATTTTTATGGTTTCATGACTTACATTTAAGTCTTTTATCCATTTTGAGTTTATTCTTGTGTCTGGTGTAAGTTGGTCATCTAGTTTCATTTTTTCCATGTACCTGTCCAATTTTCCCAAAACCATTTATTGAAGAGACTGTCTTAACTCCATTGTATGCTCTTGCCTCTTTTGTCAAATATTGACCATATTGGTGTGGGTTGATTTCTGCGGTCTCTGTTATATTGGTCTGTATGTCCATATGTGCAGTACCAGGCTGTTTTGATTACAATGGCTTTGTAGTACTTTGTGCAATGGCTTTGTAGTATAGTTTGATATCCAGTATTATGATCCCTCCAACTTTATTCTTCTTGCTGTGGCTATTAGGGGTCTGTTTTGGTTCCATATACATTTTTGGAATATTTGTTCTAGATCTGTGAAACATGCTGTTGGTATTTTAATAGGGATTGCGTTGAATTTATAGATTGCTTTGGGTAGTATGGACATTTTAAGGATGTTTTCTTCCAATCCATGAACATGGTATATGCTTCCACTTGTTTGTATTTTCCTGTTTTTCTTTTTTTCAATGTCCTATAGTTTTATGTCCTACAGGTCTTTTATCTCCTTGGTTAAGTTTATTCCTGGATATGTTTTTTGTTGTTGCAATGGTAAATGGGATGGCTTTTAATTTTAATTTTTTAATCCTCACCCAAGGAAGGGAAAGAGAGAGAGATCAATGAAAGACACATCGAATGGTTGCCTTCCGCATGTGTCCGATGAAGAGTAGTGAGAGTAGACATCCCTGTCTTGTTCCTGATCTTAAGGGAGTCACTTTTAGTTTTTGCCCACTGAGTGGGATGTTGGCTGTGGATTTGTCACATATGGCCTTTATTATGTTGAGGTATGATCCCTCTATTCCCACTTTGCTGAGTTTTTTCTCACAGATAGTACTGGATTTTGTTGAATGCTTTTCCTGCATCTATTGATATGATCATGTGATTTAGCATAAAGCACTTCACAAATATAAAAGTGCTAGTTTGGCATTTATAAAACATTTGGAAAACACTGCATTGTCTTATCAGAAAAAATGCGTAAGAACAGTACACTGAAAATTACAGAACACTACTTTGGGAAATTAAAGAACTAAATAAATGAAGAAATATAACTTCTTGTGAGTTGGAAGACTCAATTATGGTTTAGATGTCAATTCTTCCCAAATTGGTCAAAAGATATAATATAATCCAAATTAAAATTCCAGCAGGTATTTTGGTAGACACTTATAAGCTGATTCTAAAACTTATATGGTCCTGGCCCGTGTGGCTGTCGGTTGAGGGTTGTCCCATGCACTGAAAAGTCGCTGGTTCGATCCCCGGTTAGGGTGTGTACGAGAGGCAGTGAGTGAATTGGTATTTCTCTCTCTCCCCCTTCCTCTCTTTCTCAAATCAATAAAAACACATAAAAAAATAATATATATAGGGAAGAACAAATGATCTTAAATTACCAAAGCAATTTTATGGGGCTATATTTACAAATTTTATTATCCCCCAAAATACATATAAATGAAAAGCTCCTTTTTAATAATGTATTATTACATTTACATCATAAAACATTTCAATATAAAAATCAGTATGCAGCTCTTTCTCACACACCATACACACGCACTATATATGTAAGCAGTGATGAATTTTTCATTTACACATATTTCTTTAGTGGAAAATTAGAAAATTGGACAATTCCCATGCCTTCCACCCTTGGGAAGGTAAATATAACCTTTCTGAATGTTTCTGAAGATGAAACATGTAAACTACACAACCTATTTAGACATATACACATGTTGTTAGAACAAAGCAAGGATCCTGCCACACAAATGACAGTGTTTCTCAAAAAGGGAAGAGATAACATTTGACTAAAAATGCAAAGTCGAAGAACAGATAAGATGGTCAAAATTGTTATGTCCACACTCCACATAGAAATCAGAATTCTTGCACAAGGAACGGATTCACGACCCATCTTGGCCTCTGTGACGTTAGATCAGCATCCACTGGCAGTGGTCATGACCTGCCTGTAGAGTCACCTGCTGTATGCAGGCTCCATAAAGTCTCCGTTTAAGCCCAACAGTCAACACTGAGGCATGTGGTAAATTCCCACCCCCCAAAAAGGAAGTGCAAAGTCAACTTCTGCGATTCAAGAGCTCAACCAGGTCAAAGCTTCGATGCAAACACTTTGTCCGTTTCTTTTTCTAAGACATTCCCTACTCCCCAGCCTGCCGCGTGGGGACACATTATACACACAGGGCATCAGTCACCCAGAAGCCAGCAGGCCCTCTCAGCTTGACTTCACTTCTGGCAAAAACAACTGTTTTATTGAGGGGATAGAAACAATTAGCAAGCAGGATATTTTTCTATTCAGGCAGAACAGCCTGCAAGAGGTGAAGTGCAAGGAGCTGCCCTAGATCCGTCACGGTCCTTTCGGCTCTCCGGGCCCATGACTCTGCATTTCAGGGCACAGGACGTTCAGCCGTGCGCCTCGCTGTCGCCGCAGGAGAGCGCAGCCACAGCAAGCAGGGAGGTTGACAACGCTCCACATTCCGGCTCTAAGTCAGGGTTAAAATCAGCTTCTCCCGCTTCCTCCTCTTCCTCTTCTTCTCTTCCAACTGGCTGGTAGCATCGGCAAAGAACAGGACTTCACTTCTGGCCTCACTTTCCCTCTTGAGAAACTCCAGGCCCGCCAAGTTAAAGCCGATCACATCCTGGGGAGGGCCCGGGGAAGATCAGACAAGCTGCCTCCTGCCCGCCTTCAACACGGCAGCGGCAGCGGGCCCAGCGCCTCGGGGCGTCGCCCACCCTCCCGCCTCAGGCCCGGTTGCATCCCACTGCTGCCGGCTCCCGGCCACCTCGCCTCCGTGCGGATGGCACCTGCCCAGTCCCGTCCGGACGAGGTGCAGCGCTCTGTGCCACCTCTAAGTCACACAGTGCCACCTCTAATTCACGTACGCACCGGATGCCCGCTCCCCGCTGTATCACTGCGAACACTCACCCGGACTTGGCTGACTTTTGAAATAGTTGTTTCCTTTAATTTCTCAATCACGGGCACGAGCATCTGGTTGCTAGTGATCTGCCCAAAGTGAATCCTTACAGAGAAACAAAACAGCATGTGAGGAGGGGCAGCAGGCTGGCTCTTCCCATCCCTTCTAGACAGTGCACAGGCACAACATCAAAGCGGGGACATTTTTACCACATCGTGGGAGGAAAGCAACGCTCGAGAAAAGGAGCTAAAGGCATTTCTCCCCTACTATTCAGTGCCATCTGATGACAGTTTATTGTCCTAGACCTCATCACACGTTCACACTCTGACCCACAGCACCCGGATGTCCTTGGTGCAGGCTCCTTGACCCTCCACGGTCACCCTCGCCTTCGACTGTGACCTGCCACATCTCCCCGCAGGCGGTGAGTACCACCCACAGCCCTGGCCTGCCGGTACTCGGTGTTTCCCCGAGTAGCCCGAGGCCGCAGCACACACCACAGCGCTAAGCCATGCACCAGGAGTCTTCCTATTTCAGAACGTAAGCGAATGAACATACTTTCTGATTTAGTTCCTTCTACGTATGTCCTGCTTTTGCATTTGTACCTATAGAGACCTGGAAAATAAACCCACTGTTCCGGAAAGGCTGTTAGGACAAAACGAAACCATGAACTCGAACAGTTACCAATGAGGCAAGTGCCCGGGGCACTGAGCGACAGGCCACCGGCAAACTGATCAGAGCCAGAGCTACCACGCGAGGCTGCGGCCTGCGTGTCGTGCCCACAGCGCCTGCTTCCAGGGAAGGCTGGCGGCAAAGGGGAAGGGACGATTCACGCGAGGCAGCGCTGAACCCTGCAGCGCCCCGAAGTGGGGGCGGCTTCGGGTAAGGCTCCCGGGGAGCAGTTAGCGGAACGGACACGTCAAGGCCGGGAAGGGCGCTACCTGAGGAGGAAGAAGAGGCACCGGCAGAGCAGCTCAATGTCAGAGCCCCGCTGGACGAACTCGTGGAAGAGCCTCAGGATGTCGGGGACGTAGGAGAAAGGCAGCACCAGCAGGGACTCCTCCAGCTCACTGCGGGGAAAGCGGGCGCCACGGTCAGTCCTCGCGGCCGCCTGAGCCTCCCCTCCACCGGCCCCGCTGCTTTTATTTAGGTCTCACCCGTTCAGAACGAGATGGAATCTTCTATGTTCTAGACGGCTCTCTTTTTTCAATGTTTTGTTTTCTATATTTAATATTTGAATCTATTGGGTCCATGGCATAGTAGGAAAATCTAACTTTTTATTCTTCTAGTAACTAATTTCTCCAAAGCCTTCTGTTGAATAGTCCATTTTTATACGACACTTCTCTTACCATTTATTGAATCTTTATATATAATAAATAGTCTGTTTCAGGGCTTCTGAGCGAGTCTGTTCTGATGATCAACTGATTCTAACAACAATCCTGTACTATTTTAATTTTGCTAATTTCATAGTTTTGTTCTGTTTTTAATCTAGAATAACCCCCTCTTGTTCTGGTTTTGGTGTGTTTTACTTTTAATAGTTCTAGGAATATTTCATCAATTCAAGAGGATTTCACTGGAATTAAAAACCTGCAAATTAGTTTAAGAAAAATGCAATCCTTAACACAGACCCTTCCCATCTAGGCATGCACTGTGCCTCCAAGAACCTAAATTTCCCTTTACATTTCTCCAGTGACATTTCATCATTACTCAGACGGGTCAGTTTATCAGTAAGGGACATATTTAGATATCGTAGGTCAAACTCACAAATAACGTCAGAAGGTAAATCACAAATAAGAAACATTATTCCAAAAATATATGACAAAAGACATTAAAAATTATTAGAAACCAGTAAGAGAAACTACTAAAAAGCACAAGAAAAGTAACAAAAGTCACACAAAAAAAGGCTAAACAAATATGATATAAAATTTTAATTTTATCAATAATCAAGAGATGAAAATAATACAATGCAAACTTTTACCTCTCAAGCTGACAAAGGATTTTTAACCCCTGGTAAAAACCAGTATGAAAGCTCCAGAAAGCAGTTCAGCAACATAAACCTTCCAAACGAAGGCTCGCTCATGCCCACTGACCACTGGTCAGTCATCAGACTGCTGGAGCTCTCATCTTCAGAATGATAATGACGACAAAGATTTCCATGTAAAGGTGTCCACAGAAGCAACATTCATAAGAGCAAAACAAATGCAACCCCACAGTGCTCATGTGTACAACGGGATATTCTCAACTCATTTAATGATGTGTTTTTAAACAATGATGTCGGCAGACCTCAACAAACGTTCTGTGAAAAAGGCCAGGCTCCAAAATTGTACACAAGATGATTCCAACTATGCATGTGCACAGAAAGCAGGCCAAAGGAAGTGTGTTACCCGCTGCTACTTCCAACTGAACAGAAATGATTTCCTTACCTACAATATAAAGTAGCACAACCCTTCATTTGTCCTTAAAAGTAGAGCCTTCTAGCTCTACTTCATAAAGAACATTATAATGAATTATTTTCCATCCGAATTTTGACAGTTAAACCTGTAAGGATAACTGTCCATTATAACTCCCCCTGTCCCATATTGAGATACGCACTCAGTAAATGTGGTTAGCCGGCCAATGATGACAACTGTGCACTGAGACTCACCTTGACTTGATTCCTTTAAAAATCTCCAACACGTACGCTGAAGGCTACAAAGGAAGGACAAGAGCATAAGTGACACTCTTGACTGGAGTCCACTGAACTCTCTAATTTCCATCTCCTAAAACCAGGGTCCCCCTCTCCTACGAGATGCAGTGTCCTAAGGTGGGATGACATGCGCAGACCCAGCGCTAGTCAGCCTGGGCTCACGGTGCAGCTCTGCCATTACCAACCACGAAACCTTCTGGCTCTGGGGCCAGTCTCCTGTCTCTACAATGAAGAGACCCTGCCTCGCATGACTATTGTGACCAATGAGACATGCAAGTAAATCCTAAGGAACTGGAGGTTGCTGAGAGCACACGCTGTCCCACTGCTCTCCCTCTCTCCCCTTTATCTGACTGACTTATGCCAATTTTTCCTCCCATACCTTCAATTTCAAAGTTCATTTAGGAACAGAATCCTCAAAGGGCTTTAGACACGGACACGAGTAAGCGCCAGGAAACAGAAGAAGGCCGGGCCAGCCCCGTCTAAAAGGTTGACCTGGAAGTCACACTGAAATGGTGCTTCTGAAATTCAGAACATTCTAGAGGACACCACCCTTCCTCCTCTCTGCCCCTGAGAGTGACCTCTGGCTGACCAAGGGGAAGCTGTTAGACATTCTACTCACAGAGATATTCCCATAAGCCATCAGGATGGGGTTGGTGGGAAGAAGGACCTATGAAGAAATGATTAAATCCAGTCATTAAAAGACAAGACTTTGACAGTGGTTGTCACAGGCAGGGCAATACTAGTATCTTACATTTTGAAAAGAGAAAAAACTGGGCCCCAAACTGAAAGAGAGTGTAAAAGAATTATCGGGCCTTTCAGTGTCGATAGTGCTTATGAGCGAGTTTGGGCAACAGGTTTCATCCAGAAATCGACATGGTCACCCAGCCTCCGAACCAGAGCAGGAGCGTGAGCATCCGCTCAATACCACCATCACCTCAATCCGCTCTCTCCTGCTCTCCCCGTTTTACTAAGACCAAGCTTCCTTCTCCCACACTCAAGTCCCTCTTTCTAATGTCTGAATTAGAAAGAATTCTATTCCATTCTCTCACTTCCTGATCTGAGTTACTAAGTCCTGAAACGATGGTTTTCTGCTCAGGAATTGTCTATTTATAAACGTCTCCCAGAGCGCAGCTTGATGGGCTCTCTTACCTCCTTCCCTGCAGCTTTACAGATGGCTTTGTGCTCTCTCATTTTTGCAGTTTCCTCTCGGTACAGTTCAACAGCCTCCATGATCCTCTCAGCCTATACAGATGACAAAGGACAGAAGTCATCACAACACATGCCTTCCTCCCAGAACACTGCACCCGGAGGGCCTGATTGGAAAACCACCAAACGGCATGACACAGGTTAATAAAAATGCGCCAATAGAACAGCGAACTGCACGCAAAGACATCTTCGTTTTTTCCTTTCTTTTCTTTCTAATTTTCAGGGAGGAGACTATGTTTTGGATTCAGGTAAAAATGGGTGCAGACACCCAGAGTAGGGCAGCTCCCAGGAACGTCTGAAAGGGGCTACTTTCAGCAGATCAGCTTTCCTTTCCAGAGAGTAGCACTCATCAGACAGATTCAGCACAACGCTGTCCGTGGTTACAAAGAAAGGAAATGAGTTTTGAACAAATTCAATCATTTTGCCACAAAAGGACTATTTGCTTGACAAAGACTTTTACTAAAAAGTTCACATCTTATGAAAAAATGAGAAATGACATTCTACGTCAACTTACTGCTTTGACTGTTTCAATAGTTTTCTTTCCAGTAAAGTAATTTTCTCCTTGAGTCTCCCCTGGGACCTGCCAGAAACAAAGAGATCCTTGAATAATATTGTTGACAAGCATTAAAGAGCCAATAAGTTAATCTTATAAAAGAACAGGCACTATTGTTTTATAATGACAACACTGGGTTATCAGCTACGTTCACTGAAGATTTAGTAACGGCCAGACACTACGTTAAGTATTTTAAATGTATTATCCTAAGAATATCTTCCTCTACAAATAGTTAAAAATAATGCCCAATGATTTTTTCTGATTTTAATTTTTGTTCTACAATGAAATAATACCCTGAAGTCTCCTTTAAAAAAAAAAAAAAGCCAGTATGTAGTCAAATAAAAAATACTACTCAGATTCTTTCTCACATCAGCTGTTGATGACCTAGGCATCTGGCCCCAATTCTAATTCAATCAGAAATTACTGACATTGCAGTACATTCCAATGAGATAATTACAGGGCACAATCACAGGATCCCAAAAGATGTACTTACTGCTGGTTGGTCTTCTTTGGCCACACTCTCCTCATATTCTGCTTCCCTTTGCTGTCAAGAGACGGACAGAAATTAATTTGAAAGAAAAACCATGGTCTCTACCATGTGAAATGAGAATAAGACAGTGAGGAGCTGCTTTCAAAATATAATCTCCTGTGCCATCTATCCCTGCCTGGCTGCTGAAACAGTGACAGTCATCATGGAAGCATCGGAGGTCCTTGGACTTGCGCTGAGGGGTGACCGCACTAGACAGAAAACTTCGGCTGGGACAGCATGTCAGACCCCACCGGCACATCTGTCAGCAGGCCCAGAGTCCTTACCATCTCCCTCTCTTCCTCGAGAATGAGCGGCTCCCGTGTCCTCTCCCACAGTCTCAGGGACTTGTCATGGGACGATGACACCACATAGTCTCCACTGGGGCTCACAGCCAAGCACCATACTTGCTGGTGGTGCCCCTGGAGAGAGAAACCCCACCGAGAGCAGGAGTGTCACTCGCAGGCCACCCGGGCTCGCGCTGGCAGAGACCCGCGCTCAGGCCTCTGGGCACCAAGGGGCCGCGGGGCGGGGGCTACCTCCAGGGTTTGGATATGCTCCCACTTGTCCGCGTCCCACTGCTTAATCTTGCGGTCCTTCCCGGCGGTGAAGAAGAGGTGAGACTTGGGCACAAACTGCAGGGACATCACACTGGAAAGCGAGGAAAGTAGTCAAATGTCCTTCAATGCCACGTTATCAAAGAGTCTTACACACACAAGCAGCTTCTGAACAGCCAATTCTAGTGTCTTATTTACACTTTGGAATTTAAATGTATGACTGTCTGAGACGCTAAATGACAGACACAGGTGCTCAAGGGAAACGATGCAGGTGACTCAAAGGGAGGTCTCTGAAGAGACTGCACCCACCTGTCGTCGTGTGCAAAGAGAGACTTGTGGCAGTCCCCAAAGTCCAAGCCCCAGATCTTCACATTCCTGTCGGCAGAGCCGGTTGCTATCAGTGCTCCGTCCTGAGGAAGAGAAGGGACACATCACTTTACTTGATTATCAGAAACTGTAAAGTAGATAAAGAAAAGCTACCAGGACATTTAACCCATTTCCCTCCAAAACATTAAAATCGATGCCAAAAAAGTGATTCCATTTCTCTACCAAGTGCACCTGCTTCTCTGCTTTTACCCACAGATCTACCTAAAAGCTTGTTACATGAAAGCAAGAAGTCTGGCTGGAATGTTTCTGCTGCTACAGGGCAGTGCTGTGCCCTGGTGGACGCTGCCTATTGACATTAAGTCGGTAGGAAAAAGAATCCTGTCACAGGACTTGGGGGAGAGAAGAGGGAAAGAGAAGCAAAAATGAGGCTGTGGAAGAACCTCCTGGACGCTGGGACCTGGCCTTTACCCCGCGATCCCCATCACTATTCCTCTGCCCTTCCTATTTCAATGCCCAGTTCAAACGACCGTCAACGAGAAAACTGGAAGTTACTTTAACACCCACTTACTCCGTTAACGCACTGATCACAGACAGCCGGAGCACAGCCAGTGCCTTTCACACCGACTAGACATTTTTAAATATACACATCGCCACCCTGATCATAACTAGACATTGCAAAAATAGCATTTTGGTCGAGACTAAAAATTTACATAGTGCATAATACTGCAGACATCCAAATATAAAGCTTAGGTCCATCTTCCTCACCTTCCTTCAAAGCGAAGGGGGCCTTTTTAAAGTCTTTTATATTTTAGGGTGCTCTATCCATTATAGTACTTTAGACAAAGTACTATTTGGGGAATCTGCAACTGCGGGCTAGTTGTGAGGATTAATTCAGGTATTTGTGAAAATATTCTGAAAGCATTTAAATAACAGATATATTAGTAGTATGATTATAACAGATATTACTTTGATTTGGGGAGTGAGAAAGATATACAACAGAATGAAAAAATACTCTAAAATGGAGGTATCAAGCCAAGAACTAAGAATGTGCCTTAGAAAAACAACTTGTTACTGAGATACTATTTAAACTTTACTTACATAAGAGATGTCCATGCATATAACAGGCAGTTTGTGTCCATACAGTGAGAGAAAAAACTAAACATTAAAAAGAAAAAAGGAATATAATTCATGGTTGTCTATAAAACACAGGCATGATTTATTACACGTGAATCTAAAATAGAACTTTAAAATGCAATGCTAACAGTGTCTGGGTTGCTTCATGTGTTTATTCTCAAAGAAGACAAACCACAGAAGGCAGTCTGCACCCATGTCTTGCATATGGACCCTATAGGCCCTTGCCAAGGACACGGCAACACAATGGAGCCAGGGGCGCCCCAGAAGCCTGCTGCCTCCGTCAGAATATAGTAGAGATGTTCTCTGGGTCTCTCAGCTGGAAAGACCCTGGGGAACCTGTTTGACACAATTCCCAGGTTCAGTCCAGTCCTCCCAACTCTCTGGGGCTGGGGCCTCTTGATCTGTTATTTCTAAAGCAACCCAAAGACCCTGACATACAGCCGAGTGTGGAATCACTGCCCAAGACACCTAGAGATGCTCTTAAACCTACTGGCTATCGCAGGATTTGTTGTCCACAGATTTTCTAAACATATGAAATACTTGCTTCAAACAAAAGTTATATACCAAAGGATTCTTTTAAAACTCTAGCTTTCCTAGTGCACCTACGTTTGATTTGCATACAAATTTTTAGAAATATGCTCCTGCCAGGCACAGTCAGGGTCTCTTCTTTCTGGTCTCTGCCCCAGGCCAGCCAGAAAGGAAGAACTATCACTAGGCATGGCCACTGTACCTTTAAGGTGTCGACATAGAAAATCTTCACCGTGCAGTCCAGCAAAGACACAGCCAGCAGCTTCTGCTCGGGCGAGTACCTGACACACAGAACGTCTTCATCTAGCTGCAGGGTTCGGGTTTGCTTTGCGGAAAGTCTAGCATCACAGAAATCACCAGGAAAAATAATGAGTATTCTACAAGGCAGACAAAAATTCCTAAAAACTCTGGAGCTCAACTGAAACACACGAAAGTCCATTCAGTCCAAGAAACGGACACAAAACAATGTCCACCCACCTCTTCTGGGCACTATTTCCATCTTTCACCAGCTCAAAATCCCAGAACTTGACGGATTTATCGGCACCACCTGTCACAAAGCCACGCTGGAAGCCAAATGACATTCCAATGAAAAAGTATGTTAGTACAGAAACCTGGGTGAGACACACAAAACAGCCTAAAGATCACTTGTACTTAATGGCATGGGTAAGAATTAGGAAAAAATGTGGTTTCTCTAACACTTTCCCTCTCTCGGGGCAGCTGCCACAGACCTTACTTGAGAGCTCCTAGCGACACTAATGTAGACAGATGATAGCTGGTAGGAAGTTCTGGTTATACCTTCCTTCAGCATCAAGAAGAGAAACTCAGTGAGCAGTGGGGCTTCTGCTCCACCTAAGAAGGCAGCAGGCTAAAGAATTTGCTACTATGTCTGTTTTCCAATATCAAGAAAATGAGCCTCATCACATGGTAGTGCTGGTATAAAGTATCCAGAACGTGGAGGCAGAAAAAACTAGACCTCAAGCATCTCATCGGCCAATTCAGAGACTTTTAAGACAGGAAACAACTTTACAGTGATCCCTGCTGTTGCTGTGGTGATGAAGACCACCTAGTTTAGATAGAAAACTGTACAAATGCAAGATGGTACTGTATTACTATTTAAGTTTTAAATGCTGCTCCATTCTGACTGCAATGGCATTATCCACTCTAAATTCCAGATTCCTTTTCCCCCCCAAAATATGTCTACATTCAATGAATGAAGGTTCGCCACCACTGAGAACATTCAAATGAACAAACAATCTCTTCAGGTATTTTCAAAAAGTATCCAAAATGTTCTGAGCACTTGCACCATCACAGGAATAAGTGGACAGTCTCCAGGGTGACACCCAAAGGAAGCACACTGTGAATGACTTGAAAGGATTGACATATTTGCTAAACACACTAGACTTATGTAGTCATAGAAGAACGGACTAAAAGAGGGGCAGGAGAGTCTACTCTGATCTCTGCACTGTGTTGCCCAAGGAAACAGTTCCTCTTAGGAGGTATCATAAACCACCAGCAAAAAACCACAAAGGTAAGGAATCTGATGTTGTGTAACTGATGATCGAGAGCAGCTGAACAAGGACTCGTTTCATGATGAGACATTATACAGCATGTGATACGGCATCACATAGGATATCTAAAGATTAGACAAAACTTTTCTTTAAGAAACCCTGAGAGAAATCTGTTAGGCAGCAGTGAAACCTGACAGAAAAAAGGGAAATGCGCCAGATTCCTGAAGTTCAGATGTCAACATCTGGCTAGTTACCTGGTCTGGAGAGAGAGACATGGACCACAGAGCCCCATCATGTGCATCTATTGTCTCCAGCAGAGTTCCCGAGGCCAAGTCATACAGCTGCAGCCGTCCTGTCTGTGGGACACAGAATGAGCACAGCTTTGAGGAGCCCACCTACAACCTCCATGATTCCTGCCCACATGGGTCAGGAAAGGTTTCACAACAAGCACCAACACTGCGGCCAACTGCTTAGGAAATGGATCCCATGCTCCGTACTTCCACCCGAATAAACGCTATGAAACCCCCTGCTGCCGTGCGGAGTTAACGCCAGGAGGGTGGCCATGCTGGACAACTATGCAATCATACAGCCATGTAGCACTGGACTCCTGCCATTTTCATTGGCTCCCTGACTTCAAAAAGGACTTATCATGGCCATAGTCAAATCAGAATAAACATAACAGCAAATGGCAAACCTGAAAACCTTTAACCAGTCCTTCAAGTGGACTGTCCTCTGTGGTTATTGGCTTGATCAACTCTTCTCCACCTAGCTTTGGCTTTCTTGTCTACCATACACCAACAATAAGAAATGGCAATCTACCTACAGTGCTAGGGAGGGCAGTGAACCTAAAAAAAAATGGTAGCTTAGAAAAAAACGAGCCACCCTTCTGTTTAGAACTCTGTATAAGCCACGGTCCCAGCGCCAGCATGGACCACACAGTGGGAAAGCCTGCTGAGCTCGTGCACGTCCAGTGGGAAGAGCATCAGGTGGAGACCTGATTCCCGGGGCTGCCTCGTTCCAGCTCAGGGACTGCTGGTGAATTCATCTTTAGGAGCCTGTTGTTTTTTATCTGTAAAACCCCCCTCTACACTGTTGCGGGGATTAAATGAGATAATGCAATTAACTGCATAGCACAGAGGCGAGGCTAGGGACTGTATTTTAGTTATATAGGTAATCTTCAAAGCAATTTGCAAAATGGTCTCCCAGCAGCAGATGGTAGATGAACATTTGTTGGAAGAATGAGTGAAAAATGAGGGAGACTTTTAAATGACATTTAATGCTCTTTCCCCGACACTGACCCCAGGATCTCTGCAGCTTATTTCTAATAAGAGAATTCTGCACATTTGGCACTGGTTTACAAAGATAAAAATGGCAAATACTTGCAAAGCACTTTTCAAAACATTCCCTAGACTTTACTCCATGTATTCCCACTCCTCCTCACCACTTGCTGCAAGCCAAGTGCTTATTTACATCATTTTACACAAGAACTCAAAGCCTACAGGGTTAAGGAACTTGCCCAAAGGTCTAACAGCCAGCGAGTGGAAGGGCTGGATGCAAGCCTGGGCTCATCTGGTGGGAAAGTGCTGTTGGAAGCGAGTGTCATTATCTCATTATATAGATAAGGAACCACACTAGGAGAAGTTATGTGACTTGCTCCAAATTACCCATTTCTTCAGGGAGAGATTCTGATCCCAAATCCCTGCCTGCTCCTTCCCATATGGTCATCCCCTAATCTGATTAGTAGCTGGGAAAGAGGACCTGGTTGGTGTTTTTACGGAATGTTTCTATCTGCCAAGCACAAAACTAGGTACTCATGAATTTATCATTAGTCTTCTCAAAACACAATTACACATGTGCTCAAAAAAGATGCACAAAAGGCTGATCATCAAAATGTTGATGACAGTCATCTCAGGGTTGTGACTCTGTTTTCCTCATAATTTGACATAAGGTTTGATTTCTTAAAAACAAATAAAAACAAAAAACCCTCCAAAAAGGGACAATGCACCCTCATATTATCCAGCTCCAGTACATTTCCAATATGCTAAAAAAGAAACCAGATTTCTCAGACATCTTTAAGAATACTGATTAGAAAAGACACCAAAAATCCAAGAAAGTCTCGGTTTACCTTTGTTCCTATGACCACCTGCCTGTCCCCAGGCACAAAGAATGAGCACAGTGCATACTCGCAGGTCATGGTGCGGATACACTGCAGCGTGGACCTGGGAGAAAGAAGGAAGAACATGAATACGAGGTGCCTACTAGACACCAAGTGGTGATACAAACTAAGGATCTGGATAAATGAGCCTGATGTTCAGGGAGAGGCTAAGGCGAGAGATGTGAATGTCTGTGTCATCGGCATAGAGAAAGCCATGACTAGAGGTCACAGAGAGTGAGTGTAGGCAGAAAAGGTCCAGGCTGTCCCCTGAAGCATTCCAACACTAAAAGTAAGAAGGAATCAGAAAAGACTGAGAAAAAACAGCCAGAAGAGGAATGCAAGTCACAGAGTGTTCCAAAGAGGAGAAAGTGGTCAACTCAGGAAGAGAATGGCAGATGCAGCTTGTAGGTCAGTGTCTGGAAACATCACTGGTGAGGTGACAAGAGCGGTTCTGGTGGAATGGCAGAGGTAAAAGCCTGGTGGAGACAGTGAAGACCGAACGGAGAAATAGGAGGACAGGGGCTGGCTGGAGAGAGAGGAGGCAGGGCTATTGTTTCCTTTAGGAGGGGACATGGCACAGCCCATCCTTAGGCTGCGGGAATGACGCGATAGAAGGGGAAAGCTAACAATGGTGGAGGAAGCTGTGAGGAACGGAGATGAGAAAGGGCCTCGCACACAAATGACGATTCATTTTGTCAGGAGCCCAACACAGTACTGCGAGGACAGATTATGTGATTCAGATGCAGCTAAGTGGCAGATGTAATGGGAGCACGTGAACGTTTTCTAGAGGACTCCATTTTCCAGTGAAGCAGTAGGCAAGGCCATCAGTTTGAAGGTGCTTGAGAAAAGAGGCTGTGGAGCAGTCACCTAGCGAAGTGAGGGAAAGAATTCAGTGAAGTTTCTGGTCCGCACGAAGAGCCTCGTTGAATGTAAAAGTGGGCAGTGTGTCTGTTCCTCCTCAGCCAAGTACAGATACAGCTTCATACATGGAACAAGTGTTAATTTTTTCTACATGAAACAAAAAGGCAACTTTCCCTGCTCAACTCCACAGGCCTGTGCTAAAAAGCACGGGAGATCCATTTGGAGGGAACTGTATTTAAGGCCTTAAGAAACTAGTTAACTAACCATGAAGAGTATTAAGAACTAATTCAAAGGGAAGAATTGGATAAAGCAACAGAAGGACCACGTCACAAACCTGTTCCAAATCTTAATGGAGTCAGCCGCCGCGGAAAGGACGGCGATATTGTCTGAGCTGAAGGACAGAGTCCGCACATCGCTGCGATGGCCCCCGAGGGTGATCCTGCTTGTCCTCAAGGGCTGAGGAGTGGGCGCCGATGGGTTCAGTGAGTATAACTCCACCAGGTTGTTCTGCAGCAGGAAAACAGCCTTTAACTCCCCCTGAGGCGAGTGAATCAGGTCGAAGGATCTGCATGGGAAACATTCACAAATGTCTCAGCTACCACCTTAGCTCACGAGGTTAACTTCTAGGAGAAGGGCTTTGCAATGTCCTCAATCTATATGAAGTTTGCACAAATATAAAGAATTTGACATATAAGAGTGCTCTGAGTATTGGACAGCAGTGGAGTACAGGCTTTTAAGAAATCTCGGCTTAATCACTGGATCTGACATACATCTTGTTTTTGTTTATCTTTGATAAGTGACCTTAAATCCTTTCAGAATATGAGGTATACACTTTTTTTGTTTGTAATTGGCAGCAGGAAAGAAGAGTAAACAAATAGATAGGTTATTATAAAAGCACAAATGTGAGATAGCAGTGGCCAGTGGTGAGGGCAGTGGGAGCCGAGCGTGACACAGGCACCCCACAATCACTGTCTCCAATATACAATTGGTGGAGACTGCTTACAAACAGCACAACAAAGCCAATACAACTCTGTATCTCACTATTTCTATAATACTCCAGAAACTTCTCCCAGATCCTTCATACACCACGTTTACTCACTTGATTTTGGCAGAAGTTCTGATGTTAGCCACCCGCTGGATTTCGTCTCGCAGAGTCATTTCAACACTAACTTCAAGGTCTTCCTCCTCCCCTTTGCCAGAATTTAATCTAGAAGAAAAAGACTCTCATGCTACCACTTTCCTAGCAGCTTTGCTATTACTAGAGTCAAGTTCTGGCTCTGAGACCAACCACCTGTGTAATCTTGGGAGACACTTAACCACACAGGATGAGCGTGAGCATTAGAAATGTAGTGTATGGAGAAATGCTTCGTGAACTACACTGTCACAAATGTAAAATAGTATTCCATTTAAGGAGTCCTCTCAAGATATGGATTGTGAATGCAACAGCCCACACACTTTCCTGGGACAAGTCTTTTTATTTCAACTATTCCACTGAAATGTTTCTGCTAAATTTTTCTAACTTCAGGACTTTTTAGAAAATCCATTTACATGCACTTATCAATCCAGACATGTCAAATAAAACAGAGATCTCAGAAGAGTTGCCAAGTCAGAATTTTTATTTCCAAGACCTGGTAAGTTTCAACTATTGAGGAACCAATTTCTACGGTTATAACAACCTACTTCAGGGTTACACAGTCTGCAAACTTCAACTACATGACTGTCTGACTAGTCTTCCTTCACACAACCCCACAGGTGAGCATCACGGGAACCGCTTCCTTCTGTGTAGGCTGCTGTCACTGAAGACACACAGCTGGCCTCTGAGAATTAAGTCACTTAGAAGCAGTCTTTAAAAATCTGTACAGTCTTTCTGGTTCTGTGTGGCTCTCAGTTCAAGATTCAGGAATGCACTAGTTATAAAGCTGTATGAAAGAGCAGAGATTTAAAACTTGGACTGCCGGCACTCTACAATACCGCCTCTAGCTTTCAACAGTAACTGGTAAGAGAGTAAACATTTCCTTAAGGAGCCCGCAGTTTTGTTATGGGTACAACGTGGGCCCACCCAGGATACTTAGTTATCAGTAAGTACTAAGGAGACATACTTGGCTTTCTTTCTAGCTTTCTTCATTTTCTTGTCCATTTTCTTCTGAACCTCCTCTCTGGAAAGGATACAGAACACTTCGAGCACAGAATCGGTTCCCTAGAAAGACACAGGCTGCCGTGAGTCCAGGATGGGTAATTTGTAGCTTAGCTTTCTTAGTAAGAACTAAACCATAATGTTTCTTTTTCTTCCCTTACTAGTGGTATCACCTTGGACAACGTAATCTCTCTGGGTTTACTGTCCCACCTGTAAAGTGGGGACACTACCTCCTATCACAGCGTTGCTCTGAAGGCTCAGAATTAATGTTTAGAAACTGCTTAGGAAAGCAAGCATGTAATGAACCATTTCTAATGAGAAGTGACAGCAGTCAGACAGAAGCTACAGATTATAGGTCCACGCAGCATCATCGTGTCTTTTTAACATGACCAAAGAAAGACTCATCTCCACACTGAGTATGAAATCAGGAGTCTCTGAAAGGAACAGCCCGGTCCTTGTGACTTTCTCTAAGGCTGGTACTCACATGGCAGGCAAGCATCCTGCCTGTCCTGTCGGTCGCGAGGTTCACGACTCTGTCCCTTCCTTCTCGCATGATGGACCCGGCTTTCTTGCACGTGAGGATGCGCTACAGAAGGAGCAATAGAGAAGATGAAGGTTAACTGAGTTCTGCTGACCCCCTGAAAAGATGATTCCGAGAAACGCAGGTGACAAAGACGTTCCCTACAAAGATGAAGATCACAAATTTAGTTACAATTTCCCCTTTCCCACCACTCAGCTCAAAGATAAGGAACAAAAAGGAATTACATCCTCAGGAGCCTCATCCACCTCGAGGGCACCATCCTCTGCTTCATGCGTGTCCTGGATGCCAGGGGAAGACCCCTTGATTTTCTTGGGCTCTGGTTCTTCTAGATCTTCAATCTGTTTTATAAAAGTTATAGATCTTCTCAGAATATATTTATAAACACACAAACTTTACATAGATTTTTGTTTGGGGGGAAGGGTCAGAGATATTCTGAAGTCCATCCATGGACATCCAAAGGTCCAGGAATATCAGGCTAAGAATCCCATTAACTGTAACATTAACATGACCAGAAGCTAGAAGCCCAAAGTTATTCTTCCAGGCCCAAATCAATGAGGGCAACGGAGCACAGAACGGAGAAAACTTTGTTCAGAAGTTGTAGGTTACCAACGTGATAGCATTCCTTTTGTGCTGCGTGAAGCTATGTGAAGCACTCAGTAATTACATCGGATTCTAACCTCAATGAGCCCCTAAAACTGGTCAAACAGGACAGGCACGTGGGCACTTGGGCACANAACAGGACAGGCACGTGGGCACTTGATCAGAAGAAAGGAATTACCTCCTGCAGATATGCTATGTCCCAGGCCCTCAGCTCACTGTCGGAAGCCCCCGTGATGAGTCGCTTCTCTTCCGATACCAGAACCAGCCCCCACACCTACAGAGTATGAAAAGATTCAAACAGTACAATGTTTAAGACTCTAGGATATATGTTGTGGCATTCCAAATTGCAGAATACTGTATGAAATCTCTTTGGTATTTGCAAAGTCCAATATTAAGGCAACCCTTTCAACATGTGCGAAGAGAAATTCCACTGTTAGAAAGAAAAAATGGCCTGTGGCAGACCTGCTATGTGATAACTAGATGTTTCTCTGCAGCTTCCTATCCTTAAATTTAGAAAACGGCTGTTCGACATAAATCCTAACGAAAGTCCACTAAAAGGTTTTTAAGTCTGCTACTTCTCTGCCTCGCAAATAAAAGGAGCTCTGTTCATGTCTACTGCATAATGTTCAGCCTCAAATATCCAAGACCTGAACAATAAAAATAGTAGTACTATAGCAAATCAACAGTCAGAAAATCGAATTTGCTCTTTGTATACTCCAGGTGTATGTGTCTGAAAGCCCGGTTTGAACAAAGCACAGAGTAGGAGCAATGATGTCTGATGTCTGCTGATCTCTACTGAAGAGATCTATGTTCAGGCAATTGCAGTATTATGACGACTACAATTTGCTGTTTACGTGTCACTGGGCCAGGCACCATACACACAGTATCATTAAACTTCTACACAGTCATAAAGGTGGACACTTGGTATTTAAAATCATGACCGCCGCCCCCCCGGCCAAGGGACTCGGTTGGAACACTGTCCTGTGTACCAAAGGGCTGCAGGTTTGTTCCCCGTCAGGGTGTGTAGGGGAGGCAACTGATAGAGGTGTTGTTCCCCCCCCCCGCCCTCAACATCAATAAAAACGCAGCCTTGGGCAAGGATTAAACAAAATGATGAAACTCATGTTCACGGGCTAAACGTATCCAAGGCCAATGTACAGTAAAGGCCAGAGTCTGCTACGATGGCTGGCACTTCCCCACAACACCAACTTGACTCTTGAGCAGCATGAGATGATTACTACAGCCATGAGAGCAGAGCCATGAAAGAACCAGAGGAGAAAACCTGCTTTCCTGCTGCCCTGCCGTTTCCCCTGGGCCCGTGAGTCTGCACATACCTCCGTTCGGTGACCAACCATTGTTTTGAAGCAGTGCTGGGTATCAAGGTCCCACCATTTCACCACGGTATCTTTCCCACTTAAAGAATAGAAAAAATCTTATTAGGAAGAATCACGAAAGCAACAGGGAGATCAAGGTCTCATTTGTAGCCTTAAAAAGATAACGTACAGCAATAATGTCTAAGGCTGCCATCCTACCTTTCTTTTAAAATGAATCTGAACTCTCCATGTGGTTATTTTCATACAGAAAATAAAATATTACACCCCAGCTAGTGTGGCTCAGTGGCTTGGCGTGTCAGCCAGAGTACGAAAGGGTCTCAGGTTTGATTCCTGGTCAAAGGCATGTACCTGGGCTGCAGGTTTGATCCCTGACCAGGGCGCATGTCTGTTTCACACTGATGTTTCTCTTCTCTCTCTCTCTCCCCCACCCCCTTCCACTCTCTAAAAAAATCAATGGAAAAAATATCCTCAGGGGAGGAAGGAAACTAGCACATGAGCTTGTAGGTAGCGGGAGAAATGAGTAAGGAATGAAGCAAATTCTCTTTAAAACCCTCCCTGATGAATTCACCTAGAACAGAACTGGAAATGAAGCTGTTATTTCTTTACCTACTAACTAGCAGGTTCTTTTCTCGTAGAAACAATGCTTGTGTGACGGCGTCCTTGTGCCCCTTTAAACGGTAGAGACCACTTTCATTGATCACGTCCCACACAATAATATCTGTGTCCTACAGGGATCAAATAATACAGAAGAATTTTCTTTACTGCACAAGACCTAACAATGGGATGTAATATTTTTACTACAAGTTTTTATTACATAGTCCTTGTAGAAAATTTGGAAAGCATACAAAAAAGTACAGAGGAAATAAATACCAGTTAATATTGCCACCAAGATATAATCACCACGGACATTTTGTTTTATATTGTTCCAGTCTTTATATCCAGGTTGGTGTTTTCCTATTAGAAAACTGACACCATGCTGTTTAAAGCACCCCTTCATTTAATGTATTTCCATTTTTCCACATCCTTCCAGACTGCTCATATTTTTAATGGTCTCATAATAACTCTAAGGATATACTGTAACTTATTTAACTTTTTCCTACTTATTTAAATTGCTTTTACTATATTAATTAGAAAACACCAGCATCTCTTCAATACTTTATCTTCCCATTCAAGTACACAGTTTGTATCACTATTCAAGCATTCTGCTACATTCTTCAGTTAAGTTTCATAGTATTTTCCTTAATATACTATGTTGCTTAATATACTATTATAAGTGGAATCTCTCACATTATATTTTCAAACTTTGAAATATAGGAAAGCTTCCAATTTTACCAAACTCAATGGAAAAGAATTATCATTTTGTTTCTCCCTTTTCTAACCTGGTTACATTTCTGCTTGTGTTCTGTTTTGGGTAACACTTCCACAATGATGCTGTATAGCAGTTACCACGGCATCCTCTCCCTGTTTCTGTAGTTAATAGGCTCTAATCAGAGAACATGACAGGAAACAAAATGAACCTCCCAATTCTGACCCATCCTTCTCACTCTGTTTTTACCACCTATACTGTTTTGTACACGATGTGCCCATTGTTTCACTCAACAATTTCTGTGAACATCCCGTTTAAGCAGTGACAATACACTCCTTTACTAGATCAAAGTCTGGGCACCTGATTCAAGGTCTCACCTTGGACCCAGATGCCAGCCTGCCTCCTAGCTGATCATACTTCAAGGAAGTGACGGCTGCCTTGTGTCCATTGAAGGTCACGTTTCCTTCACCACTCAGGAGACTGAAGATTCGAATAGACCCATCCTCATAGCCAACAGCTAAGTGCAGCCCATCTGGGGAGGGGCACAAGCAGGTGACTTCCTGTTTCAGCCCCTGAAGGATGAGGATCTGAAATCACAAGAATAAAACAAAAGCAGAGGAGCTAAGCCTGTCAGCAGGGAAAAGGGGGGGAATAACTTAAGAGCACAATCACCCCAAATCAGCCTTACGAATAATAATGAAACTCCGCAACCTGTCAAGTTCTTTAACATGGAACTATCATTTGATTGGACAATGAAACATTCAGGACAAGGTAAAATCATTTACCCTGAAGCTCTACATCAGCATAAGACATGGAAAATCCCCCAGGTGATGGGGTAACTTACTAAGTCCCTTATCCTGTGTCACCATGGAGTGATTTTTCCACAGTACTATAAACACATCCTTGCGTTAACAGAGCTCCATCTAATAAGAAACCAACCTATGTGCCACCAGAATGCTACTGTGGTTTCTCCCCAAAGGACCCTGGCACAGCAACAACTATCAAAGTATTAACTCTTGGGGGTCACATAGTGAGTGGACAAGATCAAAATGCCTGTATTTGGTTTGGCAGAAGTGGTAGGCTTATGGAATTTAGAGTTACACAAAATATCAAAGCCTAGTTTAACAACCTGCCTCATCTGTATAAGTAAGAAAAAAGATTCAGTCAACACAGCAGAGAACTATTCCTTTTAAATGCCTTAATTTTATGACTGGCTGTGAGGACAAGAACCTGAAAAACAGAAAGTGGTAAAGTAGAGAAAAACAAACATATGGAGAATGATAATTACAAACAGTTACCTGTAAATATCACCACAAAGAGGCACCTAAGAGGTAAGCTCCTCTTCGGTTGTGGTTTTCAGAATTTAGTGTAGAACACAACAGAACCTGACACCTGCCTATCTAGACCCAAAGAAAGATTTCCCTTCTAGGGGTACACATATAAAAAATCTGTACATGATAAACCAGGGCGCTCCCTCTTCCGCTTCTCCATCCTCAAATACCCATCCATCAGCACCGACCCAGGTGACCTCTGGCTCACCTTCTCTCCTTTTCTTAAGTCCCAGATGAAAACATGTTCACAGGCTGGTACTGCCACATAGCGTCCTTTTTCACCACGGAGTGTCACAAAAACAATATTGCCTTTTTGGCTGCCAATAAGGCCAAAGACTGCGCTGGCAACGTAGCGTAGGTACTGCTTGGTGAGCCCCATGTTAGAAGGTCTGAAACCGCAGGTGAGGCAGCTGCACAGGAAAATGAAGAAAACTCAGTTCTTTGGGCACATTGGTTCTACTAGGCTAGCAAACACCACCCGTTTATCATGTGGTTAACCTGCATAATAAATCACGACATAAAATGCCTGGACATCTTAATTTTTTATTCATCATTTAAACAGTTCCTACTGAGTGCCGACTGTTTCTCTGAAGCAGGATCCTATTCTCTTTCAGCTACTTTCTGTTCCAGCTTTTTTTTTTTTTATCACAGGGGTCCTGCACTAGTCTTCCATCTAGCACCTCCCCCTGCATGATTTTTATTCTTTTCATTTAAAAGTCCTAATACTACCACCCTAATCTTTTCACATGCACTGTCCCCACCCCAAAGCCCTTGAAAAGGCTAAGCTGTTTGCAGTTTCCAAGAACTCATCCTGTCCACCCCTCCTTTCTCCCTGTCGGGCTATTTGGTTTCCTCCCTCGTCCTGCCACCGTGGCTTCATATGGTTCCTGTCACCCAGAACAAGCTTTCTCCCGTCTACCTATTGGAATCGGCGTTATCCTCCGAGGCCCACATCTGCCGGGCTAGTCCAATTCTTGCGGCCTTTTCCATCGCCTCGATATTTAAACTGTCTTTCATACAACGCGACATCCATCCCTTGTCTCACGGGCACAGATCTGAACGCCTTTTCGAGAGCGCTCACGACCTACCCTTCCCCGGCGCCCCTACCATCCCTGCTCCCTAACCCACAGCTCCCCCAAACCCGCTGCTTCCCGGCTGCACCGCGGGGCTGGGACGGGGTCACAGGCCTGTCGGACGTCCCTAAACCGAGTCTTCCGAGTCAGGAGAGGGTGAGAAGGATGGCGCACACCCACCACGCTGCCGGAGCATCCTCGGGCGAGCCGAAGCAC